CTGCGCCACCCAGGCGCCCCACATTAAATTTTTTTTAATGTGTATTCATTTTTGAGAGATGGAAAGAGAGCATGAGTCGGGGATGGGCTGAGAGAGAGGGAGACACAGAATCTGAAGCAGGCTCCAGGCTCTGAGCTGTCAGCACAGAGCCTAATGTGAGGCTTGAACCCATGGACCGTTAGATTGTAACCTGAGCCAAAGTCGGATGCTTAACCGACTGAGCCACCTAGGCACCCCAAGATTTTTTTAATTTTTAAGTAATCTATATACCCAATGTAGGACTTGAACCTAAGAGTCCAAGATCAAGAGTCATATGTCTACTGACTGAGCCAGCCAAGTGTCCCTTGCTCTCTACAGTTTATATTTTACAATTACACAGCTATTTTTCCTGTAAAAGTCTCATAATAGCCTACTAGAATGCATGGCAGGTGGTATTATCCACTATTTTATAGATGAAGAAACTGGTTCTGTGCAGTCTTTAGACAAATTTTAGATTTCTTCCATCTTCTTTGGCTCTGCTTTGTTAAAGGAGTGCTAGGCAGGGCTGAGAGAATGTTACTTTCTTCCTGGTGAATTATTTAGGCAGGCCCTGGTGACTGTAGCTGAGATCCAGATCTTCTGCAGGGGCCAGAGAATTGGATTTTTTTCTCTTGTTGGATGTATATGTTTATCTGAAAGTCCTATTTCTTCAGTGAAGGCAGGTGCTCTGCTATGAAGCTCTCTCATTGGACAGTAGGGAGGCCATTCTTGTCACCTCTGACTCTCTGATGCCTGCACACCCAGCTGTGCTCAGTCACTTTCTCAGTAAAGATATGTGCATCAGAGTGCTACCCTGGGGACTGCATTTCTGAAGCTGTCCTGGAACTGATGCTTGGAACTTCCCATACACTCTGGGCTCATTGCTTCCAGAAACTCAAAATGTTTTCTGTAGAATGTTTGTGGGGGGATCCCAGGTGAGTCTGGTTGTGACTGCCAGTGTTGGAGATACTGAGGGTCTCTGATCAGGAACTGTAGTGTGACTCATTATAGCCACAACAGGGCCTTGCAGGATAGGCATCTAGGCAGTTTGTGGACTGCAGGCTGGTTTCTCAATCAATTCCTGATGGTAGTGGGAAGGCAGAACTCTGCCTGCCCACCCAGCTAGTTGCTGCTGCCTCCGAGGCTATAAATGGCCTGGCCATCTTGGTGGCTATGCTAATTTTAGCTGAGGGTAGCTCCCGGAACTGGACTGGGGCCAAGAGCAGGTGGGTGGGACTTGGCTGAGGCTAATATTGGGGCTGAGAGAGGGTCACATTAATCCTGGGGCAGCTAGGACATCATCTGCATCCATACCTTGGCTTTGACAATCACCTCTTAGCTAGGTTAATTTATTCAGCAAACCTCAAACAGTGGCAGGTCGTGTGCTATTTATTCAACAAATATTTGAGTGTCTTCTCTGG